GCCTCTCGCAGTGCAGCAAAAGGAAACACCTTATACCGCTGATACTGACGCAGGTTGTCGCTGCTGCACACACCAGCAGCAGCAGCAGCAGCAGCAGCAGCAGCAGCAGCAGCAGCAGCAGAAGCAGCAGCAGCAGGAGCAGCAGAAGCAGGAGCAGAAGGAACAGCAGCAGGAGCAGCAGCAGGGGCAGCAGCAGCAGAAGAGAACACAGCAGATACAAAGAAAAATATTAAACAACAGCAAAGATGAGGGTTTCAACAACTTGCTGGTGCTGTAAAAAAAAGAAGCAGCAAGTGTTCAGGGTTTAGGGTTTATTAGGGTTTATGAGGGTTTAGGGTTTAATAGGGTTTATGAGGGTTTAGGGTTTGTGGTACTGGAGCAGTGTAAGCCACTCGTTGGTGTTGAGGGTTTCAACAACTTGCTGGTGCTGCAGCCCCAGCCTGAAGTTGTAGTCGCCAGCAGCAAACAGAAAGTCGTGGTCCAGTGGACACGGATACGCAGAACTAGAAGACTGCAGCAGCAGCAGCAGGAGCAGGAGCAGCAGCAGCAGCAGCAGCAGGAGCAGCAGCGGGAGGAGGAGGAGGAGCAGCAGCAGCAGCAGCAGGAGGAGAAGGAGGAGGAGAATGATTGGCGGAAATTGCGGTTATAGATATGCAGAAACGGCAGCAGCAGCAGCAGCAGCTGCAGCAGCAGCAGCAGCAGGAGCAGGAGCAGCAGCAGCAGTGGGAGCAGGAACAGCAGAAATTGCAGTTATGGGTATATGAAAGCAGCAGCAGCAACAGCAGCAGCAACAGCAGCAACAGCAACAGCAGCAGCAGCAGCAGCAGCAATAAAAGCAGCAGCAACAGAAATAACAATGCAGCAGCAGGAGGAGCTTAACAATACAAACAGCAGCAGCAGCAACAGCAACAGCAGCAGCAACAGCAGCAACAGCAGCAGCAGCAGCAACAAAAAGGCAGAACAAAGACAGAGAAGAGCCCACGTATAGCTGCAGCATACAAAAAAAAAAAAAAAAAA